TATCTGAAAGTTTAACAATAATGTTGGTGCCCCCTTAAAATTATGTCCTTCTTTTAATACAGCTATTTTGGAGTTACAAATCATCGCTTTAGAGAAAAAAAGTCATGCATGGTTGTTCAAAGTAAATGATAGTGAATACCTATTTAAGAGAACTTAAAAACCCAAGGAATTAATCAGAAAACTATGGTTCCGTCTGATGAGTTATGTGAAAAATGATCATATGGAGTTGCTCACTCTCCTGTTTTAATTAACGTAACTGACTTCAGCTTTAACTTAATGTCCATCTGTTGTAAAGCTGCATGTCTATATATGTTCTCAATTTTTTTTGTGACTAACAAATGCACATTTGAGAAGCTATTCATTAACGTACCATTCATCTTTCTGCATCACACTGCCAATGTTATTTTCTTTATTTTACTGTGACCACTTGGAATGAAACTGCTGTGCTCCATTTCTAGGCCTCCTTCAAGATCTAAGATGCACATTCAGAGTTTACGCTCTCTGTGTTTTGTCCCGTAACACTAGCAAACCTGTTTGTGCTCTCCTTTGCTGTACACAAAAGCTCAGTCTTCTGAAGGCTCTTGCTCAGTATTCCTATTTAGACTGAAGCAGCCACACATCAGGATGTGCTTTTGTAATACCTCACCACTACAACATACGCGTCAGCCAGCGGCGCTACAAAGTTTTTTCTGTAATTATCCAAGTCCCCAAACAGGATACAGTTATTTGACATTGATTTTGAAAATATCACAGTGAATCATTCCAGTTTTTTTCTTTCTGCTTGCCTGAAAAGATACGGTTGAAGCAGAATGTTTGCAATTGTTTGCAGCTTGAGCCAGCTTGAGCCATATCTCTAGAGTATGTGTCTTCAGGGCAACAACTTCCATAGAGCTTGTATTTTTAGCACCAGCTCATCTCAGAAAGGCTCTTTAATAGCAATTCCAATGTTTGAATTAGTGGTCTCTGTATTTACTAAAGGTTCACTAGGGTGTTGCAGGCCTTCCTGTAATAAAGTCCTCTTCCTTTATTGGCTCTCCCACTTCATGGTATTTTGAGTTCCAAATCACCTTTGACCTAGCACTGAACATACCTCTAATGGGCTTCACAGCTTTCCACTGAATTCCACATCACTCCATTTCTGGGCAATTTAATGGCCTAAATCCATAACTACAATAACTCAATAAGGGTAAAAAGACCATTCTTTTTAAAAACAGATATGATAACTGGTTTATAGAAAAATCTAACCACTACCCAAAACTTGAACTATTTTTTCTTGGGTTTTTAATCCCTTTGAAATGTGAGCAATCATCATTTTTCCATGTTCTGTACCTCCTACTTTCAATTTCAGAAATTTACAAGGATGAAACAAAAAGCCATCAGCCTGCAGACTAGGGCCAATATTCTTCTCAATTTTAGTCCTACAGATTCTGAGGTTAACTCCAATCATAGAAACGTTGCTTCCTCTTCTGGGGTACCATTCACTCCTTACTGATTACAGGGGGAGTGTGTAGTAACAAGTCACGCAGTCTCTCAGCTGCACCCTAAAGTAAGGTGAATGCGTGGTCTGAATTTTTAGTGCCTTCTAGCTCACACCATGGTGTCAGAAACTATTGAGCCAGATCTTCAGCTCTGTCTTACTCTAGGATGGCAGGATGACCAGCACTTGGTACATAATTCTCCACTTCAGGAGTTGTGGCAGGTAGATAGTCAGTCATTAGTCTTCATTCATGTTCAGATAATGACCACACTGTCATGGTCAAGCACCTGCGTGAAGAAAACCTACTGAGAAGACTTTGAAGAGGTTAACTTGCTACCTATTAAGAGAGCCAATTCAAGCAAATGAAACAAGACCCCTCCAGATAGCAAGGTGGGGATATGTAGCCCAAACTGCACGAAGAGAGAAGCACAATTAAAGTGTCTTCTTACCACTTATTCCAGTTATTAGTTGTGAACATCCATGGAAATGTGAAATGTCTGACATGAACAAATGGAGGAAAATAACGCTCAATTTCCTAAGGCTGCCAGCTCATTTAAAGTGTGATTAATTTAGGCTAAACATCCAAGTTCCCACAGAAAAAACATAATGGCAGGAAAAAGGTAGAACTCTCATTTTAAAAAATGTTGTGTAATGCTATACGCAAAACTTCTCTTGTTCCAGTTTACACATCACTGGGGTCTTTTGTTTGGAATGTTGCTACACTTTATTTAAGAAAAATTGTTTCTCTACAACCACTCCTCTTTTAAAATGTATTCACTGTCCAGGTAAAAGCAATTCCAAGTATTAAAACAACGGGAAAAAGAATATGTGAAAAATCCAAAACTATTCTACAACTTTCCATGCTAGCCCCTGTGAAAACAGGATTGCCAGTCATGTCCCATCTCTTCAAAATAATGAAGATACCAGATTTTGAATGCAGCAGTCCTGTTTGAAGATTTCTTCAACATCATAACTCTGCACCACTCTAAAGTCGGCCCACAGTCCTATAATATTTCTTTTCTAAGAAGTCCACAAGTTTCTTTGTGAGCACAGAAAGAAAGGACTACACACTTGGCTACTGGTTAAGGTGGCACAAGAACCATCCATCCCCTAGCTTTGCTTTGTTAATAGCTGTGCCCACCGTGTATTTTATGGAGAAACAGTGTCACATTTCTTCCTGAAAAAGGTACCAGTGTGACTTCCACGACACTCACCATTCCAGAACTGGAAGGCTGTTATCTTGTTCATTTTTTAGCTAATTAGCTGTGCAGACTTCAAAAGGGGCTCAGCACCCACCCGTATCAGTCCCCTAAACTATCAGGCAAAACCCCAGGGTTAGAATGTATGCTCACTTCTTATTTTCACAAAAAAGGGGAATTAAAAAGCAATTAGTAATTATTTTCATAGTCAGAACAGAAATTATGACACATTTCTGTATTGTTGCCTAACACACCATTACCTTGCACACAGTGACAAACTGCTGATCATTTCCAGCTCCCACCACGACGTAGCCATCCTTGGTCTTAAAAGCCTGGAAGAACAAAGATAGGTGATAATCTGTAACTAAACTATAAAATATTAGGACATCTTTTAAGTGAAAACTTTGTAAATAATGTTCAAATTAATTCCTTAAACACTTCCATTCAGACCAAATATCTATTTCTCTAAAAGTGGCCCAAAGTCATCCACAACAATGGATGCAGACCTTTTGATTTTTCTAGAGTTCGTCGAGTTTTTCCAGAGTTCAGAAGTTATCTTGGTTAATAGTTTATTTGCTGAAAATGTGTCTTGAGGCATCCTGAAACTTTGCAAATGCGTCCCACACTCACAGGGACTGAGAAGGATTTACCAGGATAACACTTACTTGCCAGGAGTTATTTATTCAGCTTCACTCTTAGCCTGATTGGGAGCAGACAGCTGCACTGAGGTGTCACAGACCCTGAGCAAATACGCCAAAAAAAATAATTGCCAAATAGCAATGACAAGTGAGGGACTCTCAGGGGGATGAAAAGGATAGGCTGCATCTTTCCAGCTCTTCAGCTGGAGATTAAGCTATCTCCTCGGCCAGTGGTCTCAAGATCGAGCTCCTGGAGAAAATGGGACTTCCTTTCCAGCTTTGAGGATTTATTCTTTTCTTTTGACTTTGTTACAGTGGCCTTACTGGCACATTTCATGATGAACAGAACATTTAACTCAGCAAGACATAACAGCCTTCATTCCAGTCTAAATCATCTCCACTTAGATTTGCACTGGAAAAAAAGAAAATCTGTAATTGGCATCATCCTTGATTTCTACCATTTTGTCAGGGCATCTTCTAAAATTGGATAATGCAAACAGATTCCCCTTTCCTCCACATCTCTACCTTAGACAGGGTGCGTAACTGAAGTTTCAGTCACACACATTACAAACACAATTTTTGCAAGCATTTACAAAAAATTCTTTTGCTAATTATTTGACTTCAGTACAAGAGGCCAGCACAGGCTGGTGTACTAATTAGTGACGAGCCCTTGCAATATTCCTCGCAGAGAGCAAAACTCATCTTCCATTTTCAGAAATCGATTTTTTTATGAACTATGTCCTGATCTAAAGGTGTGAATTCTGACTATCAATTTTGGTAAAATATAAACACACAATATAATAAACACACAAATATAAGCCCTGGTGTGGGAACACTTTAATAATAATAATAAAATTTAATAATAAAAACTCCTTTTATGCCACTGTGACTTATTCTTCTTCACAAACAGGAATATACTATTCAAACTTGCAATCTTTCATACAGATACAACTACATCCACATGTTGTATAGTCAAAGCTTTAAAATTGTATGTGGAAAATTATGTCCACTGAAATGCAAGTAACTGTACATCATAGTTAAGATATCAGTTTGCTCTCACTATGTTTCATTTTCCAGTAGATAGTATTGGTCAGTGATAAATTTAGCAATTTATTTTTCACACATTTAATTAAGCACTTCAGTCTAAGATTTTTAGCAAGCAAAAATGAAATTCAGCAAACATTTAGCCCCAAGCATGCAAAAGAAGTCCTACTGACTTGGCCCCATTACAGAAAAAGTCTGGAAGCATGCATAATATAAAGGTATTGCATACTCACGCTGAGGAAAGCAATGAGCACAGAAAAAGTTGGGGAAAAGAATACAGAAAAGAAAGTTGTATATGAATGTATAAACATTTTTTAGATATATCTGTTCATGCAGATTTCTGTCTAAAACAATCATGACAGAGCCTGATCTAAGAATATGTAAGACACTTCCCCGCACCAAAGAAACGGCTTTTAGCAGGAATAGTTATGAATTAAAACTGTCAGTATAAACTTACTACTTTTAGTTACAGGCAAGACTTGTTTTCTGAACACCCTGCCCAAATCCTGACCTGTCTTTGCTGATGCTCTGAATTCTAAAACCAGCCACACACGTTTCACACAAATTATGGGGTAAACAGTACATGTATCTGTGTGCGTATGTAACACAATATAGTTTTTATTGGTGCGACCACCTACTACTTCCAGTAAACACAAATTAGAAATTCTTTTACACATTCTTTTAAACTTCTACTCTGGATGCCTGTTACAGATTGCAAAGCCCACAATATATGTCATATATACAGATGCTCTTCCTCTGCACTCCAAAATATATTTAAATTGGTAGTACGGGCAAATCTTAAAATTCAGTTTACTATTTAGCAGCAACTTCTTTTGAGACTCGCATCTCTGTAAGAAGACTGCAATCACACAATAGCTCCATACCAGTATGAAATGCGCATCTGTACCCGTGGGCTGCCCATGCAGCAGCGGAAGTCACTCTAAATTTAAGGGCCTGGTTATTAGCATTTGTGCTTCAGTTGCTTTGCGGAATGTGTGGGAAAACTGATTATTCTTAATTGCATTGTATGTCTAAAAAGCTAAGACAACAATCATGTCATCTTTACACAACAAAAATGGTATCATAATAAATGCAGCAGTGTCTTTTTCCACGAAGCTTAACTCAAATGTCTTCGGCTGCTATTTTAAGCTTCCCATTACAAAACAGCTGATTATTTGCCAGTCATTGCTGCTGATAAAGCAGAAACTTCCAAATGTTATTAGCACAATATTGATGCCAACATTTAAGGGTGATAACAATGGTTTTATTCATCACCCATAAATGTACGCACACTACAGGTTACCACAGGTTACTGTCTGGTCACAGAAAGCTTCACAATCTTATTATACAAAGGAGAGTAAGGGCAAAGTGCAGACAGATTTTAATGAGATTTTGTTTTGATAAACTGCTGTCCATCACATCGAATCATTTCACATTAGTGCAATAAAAGGCACTAGACACACGAGGCAAAAGTCTTTTTTCCCTTCCGCTTTTTCGGAAGAATGAGGTCTTCTGATAACATTCTTGAGAGCACGAGCATGATTTAACCTGCTACCCCCATGCAGAAACCTGAGCAATAGGACATCACTCAGTGAAGAGAAGAAACAAAAAACAGACCAAAAAAATTAGTCCACAGCTTATTCATGGAAAAGGCAGAGAGAGATTGCATAGCATCCCAAGGCATAGCTTTTCAGTGTGGTGTAAAAATCTTGGGCGTTTCTAAGAAGATAATCTGTAAATTCACATTGAATTATATGTAGTACATGACATCAACATATGCGTGTTCAAAGCCTGATCTCAAGGTCCACTGTGCATGCATCAACACTTCATGCTGACTAATGGATGTTACAGGACCTCACTGAGACTCAGCACTTTTCCAAATTTGATCCTGAACACTGTGTATACACTGTGTATACCTTGTGTACTGAAACATTTTAACCTCCTTAAACACATGGAATATAAACTCTATCCACCTTCAGAAATGTAATAAATGGTTTACAAGCATTCTCCAAAAATGCCATATAGGCTATACAGTAAAGATGCAGGCCAATCTTAGTCTTAGTTTATTATCAGAGTGAACAAAGACTTGCTGAGATAACCTGAGGCCAAACTAGGCGGTCTTTGCAATGCTATTTGCTATAAGCCTTTCAAAGTTTGCCAGCTTTGATGGTGCTAACGACAGACTGTCGATCTCTTGTATTTATTGTTGTATTTATTGCCTGCTTTATGAATTTTAAGCCTATAAATGCTATGGCAATCATCAACCATACATAAATATCTTTACGTACGTTTCAATTTGCATGTTGATTCCAAAAAAAAACCAACAAACTTTAAAATGCGAGGGACCAATTAAAAGATATGCCAATTCCAACAAAATTATCAGAAGCCCAGGTCAGTTGTGAGTATTTGAATCCAAAACACAGAAATCAAAACAACCAGAACAGCTGCTGCTGCATATGGTGATGCATACTCCCCTCCATCAGGTATTTATACACATTCATCAGATCTCCTTGAGCCTCCTCTCCACTCCTCCAGGATAAACAGTCCCAGCTCTCTCAGCCTCTCCAAATTAGAGGTGCTCCAAGCCCTTAATTATTTGCATGGCCCTTTGCTGGATCTGCTCCATTATGAGCACGTACATGTCCTACAAACCTCAGAAGTGGCCCCAGTTATGGACCCATAACTGGATCCGCTGGTTATTCGTCCACACCAGTGCTAAGCAGAGGGAAAGGATCACCTCCCTTGACCTGCTGGAAATGCTCCTCCTAATACAGACCAGGATGCTCTCTTTGTCACAGGGGCACACTGCTGGCTCGTATTCCATTTTTTGTCCACCAGGACATCCGGGCCCTTTTCTGCAAAGCTGCTTTCCAGCCAGTCAGGCCCCAGTCTGTACGGATGCATGAGGTTATTCCTTACCACGTGCAGGACTTCATATTCCCCTTTGTTGAATTTCATTAGGTTCCTGTTGGCCCATTTCTCCAGCCTGTCAAGGTCCCTCTGAATGGCAGCACAACCACCTAGTGTATCAGCCACCCTTCCCAGTTTTGTATATTCTGCAAACTTGCTGAGGTTGCACTCTGTCCATCATCCAGTTCCATGTTAAATGGACCATGGTCCATGACCCTGTTAAACAGTACTGGCCCAGTGTACTCCTGGGGATGCCACTAGCAATTGGCCTCCAGCTGGACTTCATGCCACTGATCACAACCCTTTGAGCACAAGAGGTCAGCCAGTTTTCATTCCACCCCAAAAATCTAAATTTAAATCAGTGCTGTTGAGGGAGGGCACAGTGAGGTCACTGCATGACCTAGTCTCAAAGCTATTGGCAGATCAAATTCAGCGCACACTAAAATCCAGCCTCCAGCCACCACCATTAGTAGGCAGCTTCCCAGTGCCACAAGGACTGTCAAGTTCAAATGGAAAGGATGCAAGTGCTATCCAGGCAGAAACTAGATGTCACTTCTTCAGAGACTTCTCAGGAAGAAGAATTTGGAGGCCAAACAATGCTTGGAAAGACCAACAGAACAAAGCATTATTTTTTTTTTTAAATTGGAGGATTATTCCATATTTAGGAGAGGTTAATAGCTTTAATTATCTGAACAAGCTACTGATTATTTTCATTACAAGTTACCATATTTGCCCATTTA